GCTCCACGCCTGCTCGGAGGCTCTGGCCTCTCCACACGCTTCTGACAGGATAAGTGTGCAGTAAGTAGGTGCATTAAGGAGCCAAAAGAAATAATCCAGTTTGCAAACGGAAAGGCAGCGTCCTGTGCGCCCGGCGGTTCCTCCCCGCGGGCAGCGGCGCTTTCTCCTGGCAGTGACTTGTCACCGGTGCCGGCGCTTAACCTTTGCTCCATGTGCGCAGGTGGGGCCGGGCCACCATGGACCTCGACATGCTCAACATGTTCGTCATCGCCGGGGGCACCCTGGCCATCCCCATCCTGGCCTTCGTGGCCTCCTTTCTGCTGTGGCCCTCAGCGCTGATCCGAATCTACTACTGGTGAGTTAGCGAGCGCCTGCGCCGGGCGCACGCGGCACGAGCTCGCCCGCAACACAAAACTGGCTTCTCCTTACGGCGCTCTCTGTCCCGGGGCTCATGGCTATAGGCGGCCTCTGCGTGTTGGTTGCTGGATGTGTTGCTTTTCCCCCAGCTGCCTGGGCACAGGATCCCCGGGACATTTCGTACTGTGCCAGGGCGCTGCTGTCGATGGGGCTGTTGGATCCCAGCAGCCACAGCTGAAATGTTCCGAGGGCCTAAGGGCCGGAAAAGTTGTAAGTGGGAAGAAGTAGGGAGAGGGTGGCCGGTCCCTCCGAGCAGGGCCAGGGAGGCTTCTCTGCAAGCTTGGGCTTGCACAGATCAGGGTGGCAGATGTGGTTAAAGATTCCTCCCACTGTGCATCGCGCCGGGCCCGTGAGAGCCCCTCGTGCCGCAGGTGAAAGCAGACGCCCCAAGGCCTGCGGTGGGGAGGCGAGAGCCCATGCTGAGGTGCTGCTTTCTCCTGTCCTCGAAAGAGAATCGGGTTTCTCCTGTGTTGTTAAAATCTCAGCACGTTGCTGTTTCTGCAAGCGACAGGCACTGTTTTTGCAAGGCTAAACTCTGAGCATGGTTGGAGTGAAGCCTGCAGAGACGCACGAGCTGGGATTGCAAAACAGAAAAGGAGGTGAAAGGGGCTGGTGCCAGGGAGCTCCTGGCAGCGAGGCTGAGTGGGAGGCAGGAGAACGTGTAACATCGTCCTTTAAAGCTGTAGATGAGGGCTGGAATGAAGACACAGCGTGTGCAGGACTCGGCGTAGGCTGGGGGGGACTGTGTGGTCAGAGGCCGAGGGATTTTCCTCTTTTGAAAGGCCAATGTCTTCGTCTGCCTCACAGCGCTGGTTGGCAGCATTTGGGTCTGTTATGGTACTGGAGCCCTCTGGTTTCTGTGCATGCGCCTCCTTTCTTGTCATCTGTTGCTAAGAGAAGATTTGTCTTTTCCATTTGCTTCTTTTTGAATCTGCCTCTTTTCCCCCACAAAATCTTGGTGTTTCCTCCTCCTCGGAGGCCTCTGTCCCTCCTGTCCCCGCTCGTGGCTCCGGCAGGCCGGGTCCTCTCGTGCCGACCACGTCCCTGGCTCCCGCGCTGCTAATGCTGCTCCGGGCGGCGCGTGACGTCGGCGCCTGGCCCAGTGACCCCGAGCGCTGCCTCCATCCTCTGCTGCCTTCGCCGATTAATCAGTTTAGCTGCCACAGCTCAGCATGTTAACACCTTGCGAGGGATCAGTTCAGCTTTGCACAGATTATTTTGTCTCCTCCTGAACTGATCCATCAGGATCAGTTGCTAAAAATGTTATCAACTTGCCCATCAGTGGTTTACACTGGTGTCTCTGAGGCGAACGTGCTTAAGTCACTTATTCAGGGAGAAATTCACCTCTCTGTAGGACCGACACCAAGCCTGGATGTTACATAAGCCCCACTAACTCCCTTAAAAAAGGGATTAGGCTAAAAGAGGATTGCAGTGTGCATAAGCTCCGAGTGCCGGGACGTCCCACGGCAGCGCCGTGACCTTGCGGCTGCTCCGCGCGCCGGCGCTGCCGCTGCCGCCAAAGCTGCTGTTTTGGGAGCTGCTGCTTTTTGCTGTCAGGAGAATAGCGCGGCTTTCCTCGGGGATATAGCGCGGGTTTCCTCAGGGAAATAGCGCGGGTTTCCTCGGGGATATAGCGCGGGTTTCCTCCAAGGGTGATCGGCCCTGGGGATGGCTGCGTCTGGTCCTCCGTGTCTGGGCCTAGGCACGCGTATAGGGATCATCCTCTTGATATGTGGGAAACTGTTTTTTTTGATGCTTCTGGATGACAATTCCCTCTTGCTGGAACCCAGTATATTTATCTGTGGATGTGATGAGGGCTTGTGGCCACAGGGCTGCAAGGATATGCCAGATAAATCTGTGACAGATCTAACTGTCTTACCTATCCGGAATGAGAGGTCTCCCTTGGCCTCCCTGACCTGCCTGCTGCCTTTCCTGCATGTGCTGCCTCTCTCTCCTGAGCCTTTTTCCTTCTATCCAGTGTCAGGGGTCTTCAGCTCTAGGGTTGTCATTTTGGTCCATTTCTGTTGCCTCAAGGGAATTTGCACCTTAGTTATTCCGGGTATTTTTTGCAACATTTTAACAAATGGAGTGTCTCCATGAGCCAGCATCCCCTCTAAGCAAAGGCCTGGTCCAGCGATGCTCGGAATTAGTCTCCGTTAAACCATGCCGAAGCCGGCGGGAGGTGTCTAACGGCTGACTAGCCCACGTGCACTGAGCTTGGCCTGCATCCCCACCACCCGCCGTGCCCTGCTCACTGCTGCTGTTCTCTCCTTGTTTCCAGGTACTGGCGCCGAGCCTTGGGCATGCAGGTTAGATATGCAAACTACGATGACTATCAGTTTTGTTATTCCTATAGAGGAAGACCCGGATACCGCCCGTCTATCCTGATGTTACACGGGTTCTCAGCCCACAAAGACATGTGGCTGTCTCTGGTCAAGGTGGGCATCCGTTCCTGTCCCATCGGTGCTAAGCAGGAGCCAGGGCTCCTTGGGGGGGCAGGGGAGGAACGGCTGTGTGATGCATGGACACAGTGTGGGATGATCGTTTTAGCATGCTAGAAAAACCCTCCTTAGCTCTGTGCTCATTGTTGGACCCTTTTCATCCCCTTTTGCATGGAAATCTACAGGGGAAGAACAGTAGGTACCTACCTCCTTCATGGGAAATGAGTCTCGCCTGTGATTTCTCATCATTTCATCGTTGGTGTATGAGCTGAATCATTCTGGTGCAAGAGTAACCAAGGGCTTCTAGGAGAAGAATTATCCCCTTTTGCCACGTGTAGTCACCTGCTTCCTTCCCTCCTTCCCTCCTTCCCTCCTTCCCTCGGCTTTTGCAGCAGTTCCCCTTTGGTCTAACTGCCCATGTTTTGTTTCTGCAGTTCCTCCCGAAGAATCTGCACTTGGTGTGTGTGGACATGCCTGGTCATGAAGGTACAACCAGGTCGTCGTTAGACGATTTGTCCATTAATGGGCAAACTAAACGAATACACCAGGTAAAGCCCCAGCGACGGTCTCCTCTCACTCTTCATGTTTAACTTTGCAGCACGTACCGAGAATTAGGGAGTTGCTTTAACTCTGCGGAACCTCATGGTCCCCTGGGCAGGGGCCAGGTGTTGAGGGTGGCTGTCATAGTTGTTGCTTCATCCTCCTGGAGCCTGCAGGTGCGGGTGACGTCTTGCTTTGCTGCCCTGGTGCAAGTTGCTGCATTAATTCCTCTTGAGCCTTGCCCTGCTGCTGTTTGTGCACGTCTCCCTCTCCCCTTTCCTTCTTACCAAGCCTTTGGCAGGGGACGTGGGAGTTTGCAAGACTTTACAAAACTGACTCATTGCATCTTCCAGAGCTGCACCCAGAGCGTGTGACTGATCAGCCAGCATTGAGGCAGACCTGGGTTTTTCAGCTTGACTCCCAGAAAGCCATAGGTGCAAATTATATCTAGAATTAGTTTCCCAGTAGCAAAGACCCTCATAAAGAGGGGAGCACTGTGTGAGAGGGGAGCACAGAGTATAAAATGGGCCCGTTTTTTTGCAGTGCAATGTCCTAGTACTGCACAAATACACAGTGCAGGGGGACAACCGGGCCACCAGCGTCCCCATGTGTGCAATGGGAAGTGCTGTGTCCCTCCTGCCGGGGTAGCCACATGCAAACACACAGGTCTTCAGTCCTCCTCGCCTTGTGCAACCTTCTCCCATTGCAAGTGGAAGGTCTCACACTGTCTTCTGCCCCAGCTGATAAGTAGGACTGAAGCGCGAGCCCTGCAGAAGGTGCCGGGGTTGGTGTCCTCAGCATCCTTTAGCTGTGCCTCTGCTCCGTGCCCTCTGTGCAGCTTCCTGCCGGGCACTGCCGCAGGGATCTGCGCCTATTTGGGCTGTCTGGGAATCCGCACATCCTTAGGGTGCAGTTGGCTGCTTCCAGTGCTGCAGGGTCCATCCTGGAGACGTTGCCGCGTCCCAGGGATCCCTTCAGGCCTGGCCGCGTGGGCAGGACATGCTCAGCGGGGCCTTTTCTGGCTCTGCCGTTGCTCCCATGGGTCTTGGTGAGCCCCCTGCACGGCCCCCTCGCCCCGCTGCATCCAGAACCACCGGTCTCCAGTTTCTGCGCTTAATTTCCCTAATGACCCCATGCCGAGGCTTCCCCCTGCCCAACAAAGCTCCGTTCTGCTTCCCTTGCAGTTTGTTGAGTGCATCAAGCTGAACAGAAGGCCCTTTCATCTGGTTGGCACTTCGATGGGAGGAAACATCGCCGGAGTTTATGCCGCGCAGTACCCAGACGAGATCTGCAGCCTGACCCTTATATGCCCTGCAGGTGCATAATACACGAAAGATGAAATGCGGAAAGAGCGAGCAGGAGTTCACGTAAAGGCCCAGGGCAATACCAACTGAAAAATAGATTTGCATGTTAACTACGGCATTTTAAAATAATGCATATGGATAATCTTAAAGTCTCTGACAGTGCGCAGTGCTTGGGTGTGCAGCACCAAGGAGGAAATCACGCGCTTGTGCTGCTTGTTGTTTTCCAGGTTGTTGTTCCTTTTGTGCCCGAATCCATGCCTAGAGCTGGGACTAGGGGACATGGGAGAGTCCATGGTCTGGAAGAAAATGCTTTTCTCTCTTGGAGTGGCAGATGTTTAACCGCGGCACATTTGTGGTCTTGGTTTTGGAGACGAACCCAGGCAGTGAATCTTGCTGTACCGCCCTGAGAGCCCCAATGGGCCATAAAGCCGATGCAAACAGCGTGATGGGTGCAGGAGCTGGAGAACAAGGTCCTCTGGCATCAGTTTTGTTCCCTCTGCGTGGGTGGATTGCGTGCCCAGGGGGAGGGCTCGTGTGCCCGCGCGGCGCCCGCCCTCTGTCCCCACGGTCTCCAGCCTGGCGCCTGGCCCAGCACATCGGGGGGCCTGTGCATGAAACACAGCAAATGGGACGTGGGTTTTGCAGGGTGCTTTTCAGTCGGCGGAGGGCTCGTGCCTCCCTCTCGCCGTGACAGCTCCTGCCCGTGCCCGCACAGGCAGCAGGCTCTGCAGCAGCCATGAAGCAAAAGCAAACGCTACCTAGTTACACTCTGTGCCGCATGCAGAGGCTCTTCCCTTCCTCTCTGCAAGAGCATTTGGCTGACTCTTCCTGGGCTTTTCCAAACGTTACCTTGGTGTGGGCTTTAGGAAGGGCTTGGAGGTTGAGCTGCTCTTTCCTTGCTGGGCAAACACACCTAGAGTACATCTATGTTGCATCAAGCTGTTGGGCCAAGTAGTGTCAAAGCCTGGATCGGCAGGAAGGCTGGGTTGTCACTGGTAAATACTGAGGCTGTTGCGTGCACAGATTTTTCACTCCCTGTTTTTGTGAAACGAGTGATCAAGCGGGGAGGCCAGGGACCTCTGTGCACAAGGCTGCTGTGGTCCCTGCTGGGTCTGAGCACTTGTCTGTTTGTCTCAGGCCTGCAGAGTTCAACCGACAGCAACTTCATTAAGGAGCTGAAAGAGTACGACCACCTCGACAGGATTGAGAGGAACCTGTTAATCCCCTCAACGCCCGAGGAGATGGCTGATATGCTCAAACTCTGCTCCTACGTCCGCTTTAAAGTGCCCCAGCAGGTGAGAAACCTCGGCTGTTGTCTCCTTGTTGAACTGCTGCAGAAAGGGACTTTGGAAGGGAGGGGTGACAATTGCATCAGCAAAACTCTGTCTGCCGGGTGCTTGTTCTTTATGGGTGGTGTCAGCTTTATTAAACAGGCAAGGCTTCCAGCAGGGGTGGGTAACTTGGAGACCTTAGTCAGGCTCTGTTTTTAGCAGTGTTCTGATAGTATTAACAGATCCGTATATTTTTGGCCTCTCTACGTTTCTGCATGCAAAGCCTGTTCCAAAAGTGGTTCCTTGACAGCAGTTCTGTCTGGCAAGGGTCTCTGCTCCCTGTCAGCACACGTGTCACCTACGGAAATGCAGCTGGGGATGGAGAGGGACCAAGGTCTCTGCTGTCCCCGTGGCCCAGGGAGCGCTGTGTGTCCGTCACCAGCACACGGGCTAGGGAAGCCCTGGCAGGGATTTCCTCTTTCCAGCATCTCCATGGCTCAGAAAACTTCCCCATTAATCTCACTTTTCCCACTGCAGCCCAGCAGCACTAGCTGAAATTTCCATGTGTGAGATACGTGAGGGCTGGTTGGGAAGTAGAAGTGTTTTTAGTAAATCTGGCTGGCAGGAAACATTAAATAAATAAATAAGAAAGCTGTTGTCCGGTCTGGAGGGGGATTGTTTGTTGCTTTTTTTTGCAGAAGTGGTGGAAATGTTAATGGCCTCATTGTGAGGCTAGAGGAACTTGGCAAGGGGCTTGCTATTAAGCTGATTTTCCTTAGGAAGTCTGGGATGAGCAGATTGGAGGATATGAAAAAACACAAGGTGATGCCAAGACAATTCATTGGCAAAAGCATGAAAAAGGAAGAAAAGCACAGTGATTCCTAAGGCCGTCTGCTAGGGCTGTACCGCGGGCCCTGGGAAACGTCAGCCTGCCGTTCTGCAAGAGTGAACTAGTGGCTCTTGAGATATATGTTACTTAAGTGCTGTTGCAATGGCCTCCTGTGGGGATCGTGTCTCCCGGGCGGGCTTGCACGTGGCCCCGTTGTGCAAGGCGCGCGCGGGCAGCGGCCGGCACAGCGCCGGGCCCGGCCGCGCGTCCCTCTCCAGCGGGTTTCCCTTGGTCCCCTCGCAGG